GGGATCGAGTCCCGCATCGGGCTCCCTGCTCGGCAGGGAGTCTGCTTCTCCCTCTGACCTTCCCGCCTCTCATGTGCTCTCTCTCACTCTCTCAAATAAATGAATAAATAAAATCTTAAAAAAAAATAAATGTATTTCAAACCTACCTTTAAAAATGTATCTAAAGATCCATTTTCCATGTACTCTGTCACTATCATCACTGGTTTGCCTGAAAAGAAACAGTGGTATGAACTGCAACTTTTTGATTTTCCATACTTATCTAGAAAATGTTTACTAGAAAGTTTTATTTTTGTCCAAACTGCATATATTCTTTTAAAAAGTGTTCTTTTCTAGTAGCAAGTAAATTCACAACATGATGGTATCTTACTGTAATGGGTGGGGCCAGTGAGAAGAAAGTATCAGAAGAATAATAACATTGACATTTAAGATATAATAATACATAATTTTCAATATTAAAATTAATTTATGTCAAAATGAGTTTAAGGATGCATCTTATTTTAATAGCGGTAAGAGTATAATGTACCAAATAATATCCAGCAAAGCACTGTGAACGTATTATCTTTCCCACAATTCTGAACAAAAACTCCTATCTCACTGAACTGCACTACTTATGAATATATGTTGTATTTTCCTAACTTTCTTTCTATATTCCTGTAACTCCTTTCCTCATGATTACCTCCCTTTTCCTTCTCTGTCACACACATCCAAATTTTTTCATTCTTCAAAACTCTGTTCTAATTCCTTTTGCTCTCTGGAAACTTCTCTTGCAATCATTGTTTCCTCCCCCTTTCATGTCTGATGCAGAAATATAAGCTAGAGCTTAGCTGGACAGACTCCAGAGTCACACTGCCTGGCTTTGAATCCCATGTTACACAAAATTTGTATTAATTTAAAGTATTTTGAGGTAAGTAAAAAGAGACCTTATGTCAGAAAAATCTATCTCATAGGTTTGTTTAAACTTTATGTATTAGGAGGGGAAACAATGTTCATGCAATCAGGAAATGGATTATAATTAATGTAATGGCATTCTCCAGAAGGACATCTGTATTTTTCTTAAGAAGTGATTAATTCTGGGGCACCTGGGTGGCTCAGTTGGTTAAGCGACTGCCTTGGGCTCAGGTCATGATCCTTGAGTCCCTGGATCG